ACAATGGTCCACCCTTTGACTCTCAAGAGTTTAGAGATTTCGCAGCAGCTTATGCATTCGAGCTAGTCACCAGTTCTCCCAACTACCCTCAAAGTAACGGCCGCGTAGAGAACGCTGTTAAAACAGCAAAGCAGCTAATGAAGAAATCCAAGCAAGCTGGAAGCGATTTTTATTTAGCACTACTCGACTGGAGAAACACCCCGACAGAGGGCGTCGGCTGTTCACCCGTGCAAAGACTTTGTGGCCGAAGGACAAGAACACTTCTTCCAACAGCAACAAGTCTTCTGAAACCTACGACAACCCCTGGTGTGCGAGACAAACTTCTTAAGAAGAAAGAGCGTCAGACCTATTACTATAACAGAGGAACTCGAGAGCTGTCGCCCTTACGCAAAGGTGATGCTGTTGTAATGCTACCTAGTCCCCTAGCTCGAAAGTGGAAGAAAGCTCAAGTCGAAGACCAAGTGGATGTGCGATCATACGCAGTACGCACTGAAGATGGAAGAGTTTTTTGGAGAAACCGAAGGCACCTAAAGAAGTACGATCCACCTCCATCTACACACACTCCGGACGTGGAGGTCGGGCCTTCAAAGATCACGGTTACATCAACACCACCAGCAGAAGGAGCAGTAAAGGACTCTGAGGAGCCGCCCTTACAACCACCCCAAACAAGTATCAGCAGACGTCTCTACTCTACATTTGAGTCCCACAGTACCAGCACCAGCACCTGTGAAAGACCCACCTGCAGGAGTAGCCGCAGCAACTAGGAGTAGACGTCAGATTAAGTTACCTTCTCGTTTCAAGGACTTTAAGATGACCTAGTTTTACTAAGAGACATTGAACTTTTCGTTACGTTCTTTAGACTGTTGCAACTCAGGAACTTTGAACTTTTGCCCATTTCCCTGCCATTTATTGGGCTCATAGTTTTCTAAATGCGTTGTTGTGTTTATTACTTAGAAGGACATTTTAAGACCATTACTCGTATCTTTATTGTAGTATAAGTTCTTTTTTTTATTTTTCTTTTCTTTACAAAAGGAAGGGTGTAACGTCACGTGATAGTTGTTATCCAATAGGATGCCAGATTTTACATGTGCTCGCGATCTTGTACTCGAGTCTTCAGTGAACCGACTTATGGATTAAAAGTATCGTTTGTTTATGTTTACAAGACCCGTTTGTTGCTGTACAAAGCCACAACGTTACACCAAGGTTCTAGACATTGCCAGTAGACGGGAATATTTGGCAAGAAACAAGTTATGCTATAGCTGCGCAAGGTCTGGGCGTCTGGCTTCCAATAGAAATATTGTTTACGCTGATAGGAGTTGTTGCTGGACCCAGCGTTCAGGTTCCTTTTTTTTCATTGGCTAGTAAATATGAGAATATGTAAATAATTATTAATGATTTTTTTATCGTCTCTATAGTAGTAGTGTTAACTATTTGTTGATTGTTAATTTATAGACCTTTAATTCTGTTAATTCTGCAAAGTGGCAAATAAACGGTGTATATATAAACAGACGACCAACTGTCGAATTCAACATTGACAAGGAACCCTTGAGGGGAGTTTAAAAATCTTTTCGAGCCTTAAGACCATCGTGCAATCTATAACATTAAAACTAAAACATTATTTACCTATATTATCACGGTACAGTTTTTTTTAAACCATTTGACACTCGCACGCAAAATTTTCATTTAATATTTGTGATAACAAGCAAATGATGTATGGCTTGTGATTTTGCTTTGGAAGGAAGTTGCACTTATTGCAGTTTTGAAGGTTTGAGCGTAAGTATGGTAGTTGTGTTTGTAGCTTTATTAAAACGTATGTATGTCACATGTATATCATTATAATTCTAATCATAATTAAAAATAAAATACCTATCGTTTTGCACTGCAGGTGAACTCTTGCCAAACATCCACATCTGATTCTAGATTTTTTTTACTAACCATCTCACCTACACTAAGCTCCAAGTGTACTTTGCACACACACTTTTGGAAAAACCCTACTTTGAGTGCACGACATGCGAAAACTTTTAGATCTTATTGCACAATTTTCTGTTTTGTAGGTTTTTTTCAACAAGTCAAGACATATTTTCCGAGTCTGATAGACGAGGAAAATACAATTGTTGAGTTAAAATAAATCCTCACTCAAATGGAAGATCATTCAATAAGGTTTTTATTACATGGGTTGGTAAAACTTCCATACTTGGGCATATTTAATTATATATAAAATCTCACACACTTCTAATGTTTATAATTATTCCTAATTATACAAGTACGAAAATTATCCCTTTAGCTATTTTTCTACACAAAGATCACTCAAATTAGGATCAAAATTATAACTAGGCATAAATTAACACACTTGACCAAACAAATGATGAAACTATCATGTCAGACTTGATTTCGTGATACAAGTGCTACTCTCACCTGGTTTGAAGTCAATGGCCCATAGATTACCATGTCCATCACATGAAAATCCTCCATAACACTATGCTACTGCGGAAGATATGCATGCATGGTTGCCATCCCACTGGTTTCAGTTCCTCTGTCTAGCCTCAATTTAGAAGCAACTCTTCTTGTCTGAAACAAGCACTCTAAATAAAAGCATCCAATAAGATTTGGATTGCTGTTAGATATCCAAACTTTCACCCAAAGCCCCTTTTAGCTGCACATATCAACACACCCCTAGACAGCGATTGGAAAAGAACTATTTTGATAGTCCATCAACTTCTCGTGCCCATCAAGCGAGTGGACAAAGTTGGGATCAGCTGATATAAAATGACCTTCAGATTTTTCTTTTTGAACTTGGGAGCCCTCTGCTCCAGGGCATCAGGATCTACCTGGTACATGACAGCATGAACCAAATCTCGTGGTACCTTCATGTCGTAGACTTACCTAATCTTTTTATGCAACGCCCTATGCCTTAACAGTTTTCCTGGCCCTTCCACTTTGAAGTACCTTAGTCTTCTATGTAGAGTTCTAAGGCTCCAAGCATATTGTTCAAAATCTCTAGACACGAGGTCTAGAATCTCTTCACGTCACAGTTTGAAGGTTTCTTTCAAGGTCTGATCTTCCTTTCAACTGTCATTTCCAGTATGAGATGTCATGTTGGAAAGATACGATGCCAGCAAAGTGCCAAGGTGCATAATGGTCTATGGCAGCGATAGGCCATGATTATATTTTTTTTCGCAATACAAAATTTTCCCCCTTGACCTATTGCTGCCATAGAGCATTAAATAAGAGTTCATTTTGATTCAAAAGTAAATAGATTTTGTTTTGATTTTAAATGTTTTTATTTTTAAAAAATTAATTCATTTCATTTTGATTTAATGTCATTTGATTTAAAAATGATTTTATTCCTCTTTTTTATTTTAATTTACCAGCAAATAAACAAAAAATTGTATAAAGTCTCTAAACTTAAGTAAATTTTCTTATAGCAGTTCTAGGCCACCATACTACTCTACTATAGTTAAATTCTCACTTGCCTGATCTTGTGCACTATGTTTCTGTTGATGCTGGTACCTTTGAGAAACATCCCTTTAAATTTGGAGTTCCACAAGGATCTGGTTCAGGACCCATTTTATATATTTTTTAAACATGTCACCACTTTCAGATATTGCAGGGAAATTCAATTTGAGTTACAATATTAATGCTGATGACTCGAACTTTATTTGTCCTTCAAGCTAATCATACCTGATGATAGGGATCTAGCTATGTCTAACATCAAGAGCTGTGTGAATGAAGTGAATCACTGGGTGCTTTTGAGCCACCTTGACTTCAATAAAGACAAGACTGAGATATTGGCATTCTCTGTTTAACATTTTCCACAACCACTTCTTCGAGATATCTCAGTTGCAGATGAAACCATTGACTACTCAGTATTGCTGCAACATTTGATAGTCATTGTTGTAAAATAAACATGTTGCCAATATTTGCAAATCTTTGATTTAACCATCTCCGAAACATCAACTACACCACGAGGTACCAAATGCGGACCACCAAAGTTGGATCATTGCAATGCCCCACTTTATGGCTACCTAACAGCACTATAAAAAGGTTACAGCACGTCCAGAATGCCACTGCTTGTCTCATCACACTTACAAGAGATAGCAAAGAGTCAAAGCTCTCGCCATTTTAAATATTCAAGTCAACTCGTGTAACGAAGTTGAAGACATCAAGGGATATTTTAACGAGAAGAAACACACTCTAAACAATTCGCACACTGGCTATGTTGGAAATCTGTCCAGAATACACAACAAGATTACCCGTTTGATGGAAAACGGCGCCACCCAGGACGAAATCTCAAAGGAAATGGAAAATTTTAACGACGGGTGGACTAAATTTATGGATGTCCATGATAGATACTGCAAGTGTTTGGTTGTTGGTGTTGACACTCCGGCGTTGGAAAAGGCTGAGAAAGGTTATAAGTAGCAAATGGAGCGAAAATTAAATCTCAATACCGCTGTAAAATGGTGGCAACCCGAGTATCAACACAGCAGTGTATTTTTAAGCTTAGGACGTAAAGGTCCGGGCAGTAAAGCTTCCAAATTGAGCTTAAAGACATCTTCGAGTATGATGTCCCGAAAAAGGGAAGCTCTTGCTTTAGCTCAGCTTAAGATCTGCCAATTGAAAGTTCGCCAGCGATTGGATGAAGAAGAACATGAGATTCGAAGGAAAAGAGAGTCAATGGAAGCCATAATGGAGGCAGAAAAGGCTGCTGTGTCATTGAAAATTTATGAAGAAGAAGAAATAGGAGAAGAAGGAAGAGACACGGAGTTAGTAATTAGTCATGACAAAGAACATTGGCAGCCACCTAAATTACATGGTGTGACCGAACCAAGGGGTTCTTCAGAGCCCTTTACAATGGATCGAACACCATCCCTCAAACCACAAGTTCCTACCATTCCATCTATGTCTACGACTAATTATTTAAATGAAACAGTGTCTGGATCATTTCTCCCAAACCCCAAACGAGAAGCCCTTGTCGTTCCTATCTCATCGTGTAACTCAGCTCAGCCAAATGGTTATGCAACCTTGCAGCCAGTCTCTCATCTGTCAAGTTGCAAACAGCTTAGATTTACATCCTCATTGGATAAGCCTGCCTCTGGAAGTGTTAGTGGCGTTACATCATCTGTGACACCTACAAGTAACACAGTAACAAGTTCGTTAACTGTACCTGTGATTCAGCCCTGGGAATTGCAGCACACCACTTCCCGCTTGCCAAGTAGGGATTCGAAACCCTTGCTTGTTGATTCTGTAGTATCCAGTATTAAGTCTTCACAACCATTGTATGAACAGCCCGTTAAAGAATCGTGGTTTTCTGTTTGGCAAATGCCGCAAGCTCAGTCATCACAAAATGTGACATGTAACACAACACCAGCACAGCAGGTACAGCACTTTGACAGTGGAAGGGAAATGGTGAAAGCAATGAGGCAAGTGGTTTTCTCGCCAAAAGTTGAATACCTCAAGTTTGATGGAGATCCACTCAGATATGTGTCAATTATTCAAAACTTCGAAACTTATTTGGAACAGGACAACCCTGATGACTCTAGGTGGCTCTAACTACTGATCCAGCACTGCACTGGAAAGGCAAGAGAAGTGGTCGAGAGCTGTGAGAATTTACCAGTTTCTGATGGTTATCGAGTGGCAAAGGAAACACTGCGCGAGAATTTCGGAAAGCCGCAAGTAATTGCAGATGCGCATATTAAGGAACTGCTACATCTACCCAGCCTGAAGAATGTGGATGGACCTTCCTTATTGGAATTTAGTAGACACTGAGACACTGCTCATCGAACCTTGACTGGAATGGGCACCGAATATGTAGCTGACCTTAACCACATGAACACTTTGAGAGAACTAACCAAAAGGTTGCCAATGCTCCTCCCAGCAAAATGGACGGAGTGCGCTGGGAAAATCATTGTATCAGATCAAAGACCCAAGTTTGGAGATTTCGTGAAATTTATCAAAGAAAGAGCCAAGTTGGTGGACAATGAGTTTGGATACGACATGAACTCTGGACCCTCTAAAGAAACAATTCTCGGAAGGAGTAAGAGAATCAGAGCAAACCTCCACTCCACTCATCAACGTTCTTGACTGGAACTGGATCAAGCAGTGGTCGTCAGAATGAAAACAAGAGAAGGCCAGACTTCCTAAAGTGAATTTCAAGTGCCAGAAAT